ATTCTGGTCATGCTCCCACAAGGTTGGGAGGGGAAAACTCATCCAGTCTGTCCAGCCCATGCAGTACAGAGCATATGGAGCATGGAGGAAGGCTTGCCAAGCGAGCTCACTGGAGGCAAGGGAGGGATGTGGCACGACAGGCAGGTCCAGAAGAAAACAGAGAAACCCACTGATGAGCAGAGACCTGCTCCAAACACACAGAGCAGAGGATGGGGACAGCTCCCCACAGTGCAGGGAGGGAGATTGCCCCCAGTCCTCACCACCACCCCAAATTAAACAGCTTCTGTGGGTGAAACTGCTAACCCCCTGTTTGGGGTCTCCAGAGCACCAGCAGTGTGGTTTCCCCAAGGCACCACCATCAGTGCAAGGGCTCAGAGGGAGAACAGGGCCAAGCCAGCAGAGGTGCTCTGGGGATCAGAGATTACCAGAGATGCCACTGTCCAAGCCCTCAGGGTCCAGCCATTGTTCCCAAGGGACAGGCAGATCCTACAGCCCCTGCTGAAGCCCATCAGCAGCTCAGGGCTCTGTTCATCCCCTTGAGCTGCAGCCCATTGATTCCAGCTGCTTTTGGATTCTTTTTGCTTCCCATCATGGCAGACAGCAGTTTCCACGTTTAAACCAAAACCAGTTAGTCCCCACTCAAATTACAGGTCTGAGTAATCCCCCCAGCCCAGTGGAAGGGATTGTTCCCAACAGGAGACCTCTCCCTGCAATCACCTGGCCTGAGCACAGCCCCAGGAATGAGCCTGTGACACAGAAAAAGGAAATTGTGTTCGATCTTTTTGGCAGGATGAGCTGTCTGCTCCCTGAGGGGGAAGGGGAGCACTGGATCCCTGCCGGGGCTGCAGAGTTTTGGGAGGGGGAAAGCAGGCTCAGAGACAGGAGGGCAGCGTGCTGGGCTTGCCCAGTGCTGCATCCCACATCCCTGCACAGAGCCTCGACTGACACAGGGAAGAGTGCAGGGACCCTGATCACCCCACTGCTTCCCAGAGCCACTCCAAGACGCTCCAAATAATCTCTGGAGCATCTGCAATTCTCTGCCAAGTGCTGAATCATCCTCCTGCAATGTTTGCATTAGGAATGCAGGAGTGGTAGAGCCTTTTGCAGTGAGAGCCGGGTGGGGGGGGACAGGTACTGACACAGAAGCAACGAGGAGTAGCAGCAGGAATGTGCTCTCTGTGCTCCTGCTCTGCTGGCCCTCCAGAGTGCCAGGGCTTGGCAGTCACCTGTGCACATCCCAGAGGGACACAGCCAGAGAGGCTGGCCACATGGCAGGGCTGAAATAATTATTTCATCATGAAATAAGTCACTGTGAACCCCCAAAGCAAGTCTGATCTGTCCTCATCATCCACTAGAGCTGTAGGGAGACCCAACCTCACCTGTGCAAAGCTCCTGGAATCCCAAATCCAATCACCTACCATGGGGTCTCATCAGCTGCAGCAGCTCCTGGCCAGCTGTACCACCAACAATGTGAAGCAGTCTGTTGGGAGAACAGCAATGCCTCACCTTTAAAACAGAAAAGCCCTCAGAACCACTGAGAAATGAGTAAAAGGGGTTTATTTATTTAGACTTTCAACGAAACTTTGACAGAATCCTGCACTGGGGGATTTGAAATCTTGCAACATACCCTGGTTATGCACAAGGACACCAGAACTCGTGTGTGTTTAATAGATCTACTGAGATGTGGCAGATAGCAAAGGATTATCTGGGTTAGCTGATGTGAGAGGCTGGAGGGAGCTGCAGAGGGAATTCACTGCTCACAGAGACCGGCTGTTGATAAACAGGAGTTCACACACGCCAGAGAGATCATCTGACCTGCTCCTGTGTATCACCAAACTCACTATCATCTGTAACCCTGCTGGAGAAAGCCCCTTGTGTCACTGGACAGCTCAATAACAACAGCTTTAAACACTCAGGGACAAAAGAAACAACTACAGGTCTGAAGTGCAATGTGCTGAACCAATGTGATGTTATTATGGCATTAAGTATCAGTGGATGGGGCAGCTCTGCTCTAAACAGTGTCTCGCTGGAGCCTCTGAGCTGGAAAAATAAACACACAAGTTGGACAAAGGGAACGACCCCCACATTTGTGGGGTCCTTACAGCCATTCCACCCATCTTCCACCCAGGACTGAGTCCCCCTGTGGCTCCTGCAGAAGATCAGAATGGGAATTATATACCTGCAATTGGAGACTTTCCAGATGTGCCCCCACATGTAGTCTCTACAGAGAGCAAAACCCTGCATGGGGCAGGAACACATCGAGGTGCAGGCACACCTCTGCAGGATGAGCTTTGGGGAAGAAGGTCTGGGTGATGGCAGATCAGGGGAAGGTAGGTGGAGGGCTGGGGTGAACCTGCAGGGAGACCTAGTCCAGGTGAAGGACAGCAAAGTTGAGGGATGAGGGCGGCTGGCAAAGACTGGAGCTCAACTCTTCCCCACCAAAGTGCTGGCCAGGAAGGCCAAGGCCATGGAGGAGGTGACATATGGCCTTGGCCTCCTTGGGCAGGGAAAGCCAGATTCACATGTCAGGGAAAGCCATCATCACACCCGTTAGCAGGTTCAGCACAGCTGGAGGGGCATGGATTATCTCCCCAGGCAGCCTGAAACCTGAGGCAGGGCTCTGCTCACCTTACTGCAGCCAAGAGAAAGAGAGCAAACTCCAGCTCCAGCAGGAAGCCTCCAGTGGCTGGAAGACCTGTGGGCTGAGATGATTTTGCACAGCCTCAAGATAGATCTAATCTATCAGGACAGACCCATTTGCTGGCAGCTCCTCCTGGTGCTCGAAGGGAGGATGTGCACACCAGACCCATCCCGGCCAGCCCTCCCCGACTGCAGGAGGCTTTGGGGCCAGCAGGAGAAAGTCTGGGAAGCACAGAGAACACAAGCAGCCAGCCTGCCCAGACGAGGCTTCCCATATGCTGCAGGGCTCTGAGCATCCCTGATCCACGGGATGAAGGAATATCGGCCAACAAACTTGACCCTGAGCTCCTAAGAAGCAAGACAGGGACTGACTGCTCCTGTCAGGAGTGGAAAGGCCACTGTCTGGACCACCCACAATGCCAGGCATTTCCAGGGTGCCCAAGAAAAGGGAAATAAGGCCAAGCTGAGTATTTGTGCTCTGTACAAATGGACCTTCACTAACATTGATGCTCTCCAGCACTTGCCAGAGTGCAGAGATGGCAGTGAGCACCATCTCCCAGCACCAGGTCACTCCTCAGCCACACGAAGCAGTGAGAGCTCCTTTGCTCTCGTGCTTCCAGACAGGTTTCCCACCTCCTGACTCGTGCTGTCAGGTAGATGTCTCCTGCAGAGCCTTCAGTTTGTCATTTCCTTGTCACACGCTGCTGTGGGTGAGCACTGACAGCTCATTGCAGCAATGCTCAGAGGAGGGGCAACAGAAAACTCCTCTTGACTTCTGCCAAAAGCAGCTCCTAAAGCCCCCAGACGTTGCTCAGGGCTCTTGTTCCAACCAGCAGCCCTCAGGACGCTGTCACACATCCTAACCAGTCCCCTCCTGTCCCCACCCAGCCAGCGTGGCACCTTCCCAGGCACACAGCCTGACACTTAGTGATGCTGAGCTGCCAGGCAGTTCAGATCCCCCACTGCTCCTCACTGCTCCTCCAGCCTCTGTCTCACCAGCAAGGGCTTTCTGCTTCCTTGCAGGTCACAGAAACCAGTGCCATGGTCTGAGCCACGGGTGCTTCCCAGCCCCACTCCCACTGTAGATGAAGATTTTATACTACAACTTACACAGCATCCATGTGTCTGATGTTAAATGGACTAAGAACTGCACTTTATCAGGTCTGCTTAAGCATGATTAGAAACCTGGGTAGATTTCCTGCTTTGAGTGATCATAAGGGGTGCAGGGAAGGCAGAGTGAGCTTCTGCTTGTGCAGAAGGCTGGCTGGAGACCAGATAAAAGGAAATTGGGAATTGTGGAGGTTACTGCAAGGAGGCCTCGTGCAGCTGACGGTGCTGGGGCTCAGGAATTGATGCTGGGGAGGCAGCCAGGCCCCCCATCAGCCAGCCTGCTCATCCCAGGACAGAAGGTTACCAAGCCCATGTCCCAGGGAAGTGCCTCAGCTCTCACTGTCTGCAGCAAACCACCGAAATTTGGGAGGATCCCTCTGGCTGCTGACGTGTCTCATCTCCGTGCTGTGAAAGGGCACTCGGGTTTTGCTGAGCTGGATGGAGGCCATTGGAGACATCACTTCCCTTCTCCAGTGCCTGAATTCACTGGGAACATGCCAGCAGCCTGCCAGACCATCATTAAAATTTGCCAAGATATCAGCATCACCTGGGGCTGCCAGGGCTTGCCTGAACCACACACACAGTGTTTTCAGACCATTAGTACCCATTCTCCTCTTCCTCTCCCCCACAAGAGGCTTCAAGCTCTGTCCAAACTCCCTCCATGCTCCTGCCACCTCCTTCTTTAACTCCTGGGTGAGCAGCAGCATCTTTGCCCCTAATTACAGACAGGTTGGATTTAAAAATAATAAAAACCTCAACCCAAAAATGAAGCCCAGAGCACTGAATTTGCAGGCACTGTTAAAATAGCACCTTGGGGCTGTGAAATGACACTTTACATGGGAAAGGTCAAGTGCTGTACACAAGGCACACTGCCTTGTTCTGAAGGATCCCACAGCAACAGGACAGACACGGGGTCAGAACCAGGGCCTCACCACCCTCACAGGGGAGAATTTCTTCCTAATATCCAATCTAAATCTATCCTCTTCCAGCTTAAAGCCATTTCACCTTGTCTTGTCATTCCACCATCACCTGACCTCCATGGGATGTCACTTCTCAGTTTGTTAGAGGCACTCTGCCCTTTTCCCAAAAGCATCTGGCAGCTCCAACAGGAGGACACAGTGAAGGGCAGGATGGTCCCATGCTCCAGCCTGACCTGCTTCCTTAGAGGATGGCACCAAGGTCAAGGAGGGCAGAGGACCCAAAACCCAGTGGGTCACCCAGCACCTGGGAGAAGATTTGAAAAAATCATATTTTCAAGCACATGAAGGTTTTCTTTTCCAGTGAATTGCTTCAAATGACACTCTGCAGATACATCTTTCCTTCTCCATGTTTTAATTTTACAGAGAAAACAAGGAATCACCAGCAATCAGCATCTCCAGTGTGGTGCACACCAGACCAGGATGTGTCCTGGGAAATGCATCTCCCTCCCGGGTAGGACATGGGTGTTGCTAATGCTGCAATTTGCTCTGCTCTACATACCTCATCTATCAAGAAGGAACTGGAGTGGGGGGAAGTAAGTTATTATCTCCTCATAATGACATAGAAGATACTTGATGGGCTCTGTCGAGCTACAGAGCTCTCACTGGGTGTGTGGAGCTGGCAGGATTCTGCTGAGGATATGTCCACACAGGACCTTGCTGGGCAGAAAGGCAGGAGAGATGGCCCCAAACAGGAGAGGTGAGTCTGAACCACCCCTGAAGTGATACCCACACCGTCCCCCTCCAGCTGCAACAACAAGAAGGAATCAGGGACCAAAGGTATCACAGCCAACAGGCCCCAAACACCTGCTCTGCCCTGGCTGAGCTGCCTCTGCCCTGGGAGATGGATAGAAATAAGGAAAACTTCTCCACAAGCCCTGCTAAACCTTTACCCCCCCTCCACAGTTTTTCAGGAACAAATGGACATTAGCTTCACCTTAGGTCTCCCTGCAGATATTGGCTCACACATAAAGGCCAGGACACCCGCAAAGCATTGTCTGGACAATCCATTCCACACTCCAGAGCCTCCCCACAGCCTGTGTAGGATTTCCACAGCTCCCAGCTCCCCTGGAGTCAGAAAAGGGGGAACAGCTTCCAACTCCACCAGTTTGTGGGACAAAATGCACTACTTTCCTCCTAGCACATCTGCTCTGAAACCATCAAGACACAGTTGCTCGTTGTGTCATTATCCCCATGCTCAGCCCAAGTGCCATGCACACATGCCACACACGAGATGGGCTCCAGCAGCTCCCCCTCTGGCCCCTCTCCTGGTCAAGGGGGATCTCAGGCTTTTTCATCTCTTCCCCTCAGTAACAAGTGCATTTTACCCTCTCTACAAGTGGCCAAGACCCAGCTTCAGGCTCTTTAAGCAGTGATATCCAGGGTTTGGAGGTGACCTATCCAGGGTTTGGAGGTGACCTGTCCAGGGCTTGGAGTTCCCCTTCAGCTTGGCAGTGGCTCAAGATCTCTCCATGGCTGGCAGCCCAGGAGCTGGGGAAGGCCTGGGAAGGCTCAGAGGAGCTTCCACAAAGGTGCAGAGGCACCTGGCCACTAACACTAATCCTCAAGGCCTTGAGCACCATCTCCTGGTCATTCCTGGATTCAGTGGCAGCTTAACCTCATGCTTCCTCCGTGTCACCATCCCTGAAAAGCTGAGGGGGACAAACCATATGTGGGAGCCCTTCAAGACATGTGCAGCACTTCAGCAGGGTCATATGCTTGCTGCTACACACACACACAAAATGTCATGAGCTCCCCCAAGCCCCTCTCCCGGGAGCTCTGCTGCTCCCTGTTCCTTCCAAGTTATAATGGGAACAAACTCTCTCACTGGCACAGCCACCTTGGCACTCTCCTGTGCCACCATCTCTGCCTGGTGGCAGTGAGCAGCCAGCACAAGATGCTGCAGGAAAACTCCAATCTGTTCATCTCCCGTGGCTCTGGGCAGCAGGACACAACAGGGCACTGCTCACCGTGGGGTCCCAGGCTCTGAGATCCGGCGGGATCACCGCTCCCTGTGGAAATATTGCAGTGGCAGAGTTCAACCTTCTGGCACGAAGGAAAGGAAGATAAATGCTACCAGTCCCCTCAGAGCCACAGGAACCCTGCATCTATCTAATTGCACTTCATAACGGATTCAGCAAACCATTAATTATCAGATTATATTTTAGGAAGCTGCAGATAAAAAAGATTTATGAAATTTAGCCTTAAAGGGACTGGTGTGCTGCAATGAAGCTGTTGCATCTTGCTGGCACCAGAGAAGCAAACTTTACAGTGGGCACCTGAATGCATTTTACAAGGCAGTGCCCCCCGTGTGGCAGGGGAATGTCCACTTGCAGTCACAGCAGCCATCCCACACTCAAATACTTTCATTAGTGCCAAGCCACTGTCACCAGTAATGAGGGACCCTGGCATGCAGGCACAACTCCTCCTCCTTTTTCAGCATGTTCCTGGTGAATTAAGAGGGTGGTGGGACATCTCAGGGCTGTTTGCTTGCAGAGAGGATGGGGATCCCCAGATCTGCTTTGGACCCTCCTTCCTAAAAGACAGTTACAGCAAAAATATGGATGGGATCAGAACCTGTGCTGCACAAGGTGCTACCTAAACAGCACTGAGGTCATTTAGCCCAGTTCCCAAGAAGTGCCTGCTGGAGAAGAGAGACCCAAAGGTCAGATCTGTGCTGGAGGAGGTCTCTGGCTGCACATCAGTACAGGTGAGAGTAGAAGACACAAAGCAGCCCTCACACACCCTGCAGAGAAGATACCTGTGACTACATCACTGATTCAGCCATAACAAATCTCCATCCTAAATTCTCAGGACAGCTTTTTTTTTTCCTTCCCATACCCATACACCCCAGTTTTGTCCTGCACCAGTCCCCTCCCCTCCGTTCACAGCAGCAGAGGGTCACACCCAGTTTCCATTCTTTTCCTCTGCTTTATTTCTCACCTGGGAGAGACAGGTGGTCCAGCTCACCTGAGCTGGCAGCTGCTTAATGCAGGGAGACTTCCCAGGCAGTGAATGTCTATGAACCTCTCCTGTCCCTGGTCATTCTGTGCTTGCTGCCTGCCTGGGATTGCCTTCCCAGAGAAGCCCTGGATCTCTGAGCTGGAGCAGCACACTGAGCTCCTCAACAAGTCCAGAGGATGCCAAGTGGCAGTTGGAGGCACCCCCCACTGTCTCCCGCTTGGTTTCTTCACAAATCAGAGTTACTTTGTCATCAAACAAGTCCTCCTTAGTCACTGCCACCTGCTCAGAGCCACTTTGGCTCACACGGGATTCAGACTTGGGAGCCAAGGAGTTGGGTGCCATCAAAAGAGATGATGTGCTCTGCTGCTCCCTGCTTCGACATCGGAATCACCTGTGTGGAAGAAGATGGTGCAAGAGTCAGACATGTACAGCACCACTCTCCCCAGGATCCCTTTGCTGCCCACGCTTTCCCCAGCCTCAGCTCAGGTAATAACATTTAGCTTCACGCCACAGGTCTGCAATTACAACAGGCATGAGACTAATGGGAAACGCCAAACCACACACACCAGTGATGCAAGAGAAGATAGGAGAGTAATTTGAATATTTCTCTCCACAAAATTGCTATAATTTAGCTCCACAAGCAGCTGTAGACAGTAAACACTCTGTGATTATCCACTGGAGGAATGCCATCCCAGGGAATCTTGCACACTGGGTTCTCTCATCCAAGGAACTGTTCTCCACTGATGGTTGAGATTTTGAAGAGGAAGAGGCTGGGTTCAAACCTAGCACTGGGCCTCCAACAGAACAGCTGTAGTCTCATGGGGTGTCATCGGGGTGTTAACAGCCTGTGAGTAGCCAGGCACCTCTGCAAACCCTGTCAGTCCTCCTCCTCAGCTCCTGAAAGTCAGGATTGAGCTGTTTCCCCTCCAGCAAGACCTCCTCGTGCCAGCACAGAAATGCCAGAGTGCTGTGGCTGGGGGTTACATCACAGACCCCTCTAAAAATGGGGAATCATTTCAACCCAAACCACTCTGGGATTCCATGACTCAGTTCCAGGGGCATCATGACAGCAAGAACCGTGTAGAAAGCAGAAGTAACAGGGGAATTATGCTCAGCAGATACAAGACCTGATCCTCCTCCCACAGGACAAGCATTTACACCTCACTCTGTTTCTCAACTGTCCCTGAGGAGCTGAACACAGCTGAATCCCTGATCCTTGTCTCAGGTCTCCTTTTGGTGTGAGTTCTTGTTCCCTTGTAGCAATGTGCTCCCACACACATTCCCTCCAAGGCATGCCATTTGCACCATGACTATTTTTAATTCCTACACCTCTTGGTAGCTAGAAACTTGGCTTAATGAGATATGTAGCCCTTTGCAGTCACAGCCCATCTCTCCCCATGGTCCTGCCTTTTCCCTAATGGACTCTGCCTCCTCTGTCCCAGTTATCCCTCTGCCAACCCCAAACTGCTGCACATGGCCTGGAGAGACATCCTGGTGCAGGAGCAGGCAACAGCAACCTTTGCATATGAGACCAACTCCTGGCTGCACCAGCTCACCTGGTAAGTCCTGTCACAGATTCCAAAGGCTTTCCCCCAGTGTGGGTCACCATGTGGTGCTCCAGGAGTGATGGGGCACTGCAGATTTTGGAGCAGGTAGGGCAGGGCTGGTATTCCCAGGAAGGTGCTTCATGGACATGCTTGCAGTGTGTTCCTGCAGGGTGGCAAAGCTCATCTGGCACTTCTTGCAGCTGTAGGGATCTTCAGTGTCTGCCACCCAGAAACACAGCACAAACCACAGAGGGTAAAGAAATCAAGGGAAAAGAACACTTAAGAGACAGTCAAAAAAAGGGAGGGACACTTTACTTTCCAGGTGGAAACTAGAACTGGAGTTTGGGCTTCACATATAGGTTTTACTGTTCCTGCATACCAACAGCTTTCCATGGTGAGCTCCCAGCAGCCTGTTTGCCATTATTCTTGAGATAACCCTACTCATAGCATCAAACCATTAAAGTCTCACTTTTCCACACCTGCACAGGGAGGATTAAATTAGCACTGACCTCAGGTATCCAGAGGTACTACACACTTTCACACTGTTTTGTCTCATGTTCAAAATCCATTGCCCAACTGCATCACACTCGTGGAAAAATGGGAAATAGAGCCAAGGACATTTTTCACAACCCCATCAATACATTCTCTGTGCCCATGAGCTGGAAGAGCCCTGCCTCAGCCCTGGGAGCACAGGGCACTGAGTGCAGGGGCAGGAGCAGCAGGGGCATGAAAAATACGTGGAATTCAGCCAGAGGGAAGGGCAGGAGAAAGTAGGATAACCAGAGGAAGGATGCATCACTGGAGTCCAGGTGTGAGGGGACAGAGAGGAACTACTCAAGAGAAAAACAAGGAAGATGGAGGAGAGGAGGACTGTGTGGCTAATCTGAGGAGCTGGATAAGGGCAAAGTGGGAAGCTGCAGGTGAAGGAGGTCTGGGAGTAGCCCAATGCACAGGAGGCCCCCAGAGGATGGAGAAGCAGCTAGGAGGCAAAGGGAGGAACAGGGCACAAAGGGGTAGATGGAGCAAGCTGAGCCCATGGCTGGGCTCCTGTGGGGAAGCTCACCCTCAGCCTGCTCCCTCTTGCTGTGGTAGGCAAGGGCCAAGGTCTGCATGAAGGTCATCAGGCAGTGCTTGCACATGAAGGGCCTGTCCCCTGGGTGCAGCTGCAGGTGGTTCTTCAGCGTGGGGTTTGCCACGAACCTGGCCCCACACTCCTGGCAGGAGAAGGGCTTCTCATCCAAGTGTTCTGTCAGCTTGTGCTACTGCATCCCTGGGGAGGCAGGCAGGACACCAGTGTGGCACTGGTGGGACCTGGTGCCAGCCCTGCCTCACTCAGCTGCAGAGGCACCACTCCACTGTACTGCTGGGTCCAGCAGCCCACCAGTGACACCAGGGTCCACTGGTGTCCTCCAGCCTGGAGTCCACCAGGACATTGTGAGCTGCCCCGGGGAGGGCAAGGAGACTCAGCTCCTCTTACTTGTCCTGCTAAAGCAGCCAGGAACTGGAACAGCTCGGTTATTTTTGGAGGCTTTTAAATTTGCCAGTAGCCCCACTTTTCCTTGATGAGCCATGTGGAAAACCAATTAGGGAAGAACTAATCAGAAAGTGGTTGTGCTCAGTGGGGCAGGAGAAATGAGCTGAGCTGCATTTCTCACACATGGCACTCACAGAGCTGCAGGGAGGAGGAGGAAGTTTCAGATTATCACTTTACTATACTGTCCAAACTTCTGCCTAAACATCCTGCTCCCACCAACCCTACCTGAGGCATGAGCAAACTCTCTTCCACAGATGTCACACGCCACAGGGAGCCGCTTCTTCTTTTCCTTGGCCATCCCCACCCACCCCGTGGACCTCCAGCTGATGATTTTCCAGCTCCTTCTTGGTCAGTTTGACCTGGCTGCACTCTTTACACTGGATCTGCTTTCCTCTGGACACCTGACAGCATTTCACATGCACTTTCAGGCAGCAGCAGAAGTGGAAGGTCTTATCACAGGCTTTGCAGACAAAACTCTTCCTGGACTAAGCTTTGTCTTGGGATTCCTTTGCTTCTTTGGCATCAGCTCCTCCTGCCTCCTGTCCTCATCTTTGTCCAGAGATTTAACTTGGGATTCACTGTTCACCTTCCACTTCCTGATCCCAGGTTTCTCCCCACTTCTCTCAGCCAAGAGACCCATGGAAATAGCAATTACCAGTTGGGTGGTGACCAGTAGGACTGGGTACCTGCCCCTCAGTCTCACATCTCCTGAATGCTCCTACACAGGCAGTTTGTCCTGCACAGAGGCAATCAGACACTCTGCCCATTGCAATGGTGCCACAGGGCTCTGCCCAAAAGTGGCTCACACCATACATGGTAAGATGCATGAAGAGTGATCCTCAAATTTCTCCACCACACATACCAGGGCCAGATTTTCCTAAAAGCTTGCTCCTCAAACTGTTGCTGCCAAGCATTTGCCTCCTGCTCAGACACATGAAGTTACAGCCATGCTTAAATGTTTGCAGACCTGAGCCTCAGATATGACACTGCCTAAATCTGCCACTGAGAGTGGATATCCAGCCCTTAATTACGAGAAATCTCAGAAACACTTCACAAACACAAACTCTTTGAAAGGGAACAGATAATCTTACTATGACCCTTTTGAGTCTTCTGCTTGGGCCCCTGAGGTATTTTAAATCGCTCATTATGTTCATTTCTTACAAAGCTTAATGCTTTCCCTGTCCCTGTAACACCATCACCTCAAAAAGCACAAGCTGGAAAATTCACCCAGGATCTCAATCTACAGAAAAAACCCACAGGGAATGTACGTATGGAAGAAATCAAAATACAAACAGATACATTTGTCTTCTTTGCTATAATGAGAACCAGGAAACTGTGTGACCATGGAAACCAGCACAGACTTCTCCCTTTGCCAATGTACAGGAAATTCACCCCATGCTTGCAAAACTTCATCTCTGCCTCCTTCACTATGGGAAGAACTCAGCAATGTCTCCCCACACACCACTACTGCCCCAGATGTCCAACCAACTAGAGACTAAATGATATATTCCAACAGACCTGGAAATCTTAAGATGCCAACTGGTGAACCATAACCTGTGAACACATCAAGGGAGAACTTACAGCAGACTGGAAGACTGGTTTCCAGTTTGTCCTGCTCTGCCAAGGTTGCCTTGACCTGTCACCTCTCAGGTTTCTTCCCACATCCCTGCAACCAACACTGTCAGTTTTTCTGACCCAAGTGAAGAAGGATAACTGTACTTTTTTCTTTTAAACACAAGACCATGAAGAAGAAAAGGCTTTTCGTAGAGTTTTGACACATTTCTGAGACTGGAAAGTGAGACCTATCTTGACAAACGTGATCTCCCAAGAAGTGACTGTAGAGAGCACTGGAAAGCAGATGGCTGGAGAGGAGGTTATGGAGTTGGCTGAAAAGGCCAAACCCTGTCCTTGCATGCACCAGCTGCCAGCACTGACAGTGCTCCAACTACAGCAGGATCCCAAGGAGAAGCCAAGAGATTCCATGTTGTACCTCCACCAAAAGAATCAACTCATTACTTTGGTAATGCTGAGCGTGGTTGGGAATGGATGCAGTTTCCTCCACAGGGCACCCCAAGTGCTTCAGCTCACCTAAATGAATTACCAGAAATTTTTGAGGGCTTTTTTTGCAGTAGAGATGCAAAAACCTGTTGTTTTCAAGTGGAAATGCGACTGTTCACATCTCCACGTGGCACATACGCTCCCAGAAACATAAGGTCTCCTCTGCTTCCAGAGGAAGCTCACACTGCTGAGACATGAGGCCCAGAGTTACCACTCATATCTCATGCCAAGAGCCACATGCCTATTGGTTCATAAAGTCACCTGAAACATTTGGGGCTGGTAAGCAGCGGTGTCAGAGCTGAGGAGCCTCAAAATTAAGATATTGAGGTTCAGTGCAAAGATCTGTAGGATGCCAGAGAGAGGCTGGTACCTGGCAATCCTCCTCTGGACACTTCATCCAGAATAGATGTTTTTTGCCAAGTAAATAACCATTTTCCAGGGCTTTTGTTTTTGATGTTGCTTCTTGCTTGATTTCATCTCAGCCTTGGCTTGACTCCCTGCAAAGACACTCAGTGACAGCAGTTCTGCTCTCTCTGATGTTGCTGCCAGAGAGGCAGGATCTGCCAGAGCCATGGCACCAGCTCCCCAGGCCCCTCTGGTCCCCAGTGCAAGGTGTCCATGAGCTCGTGTGGGCTGCACATTCACAGACACATAAACTGCTGGCTGACCTGCTCCACGGTCACCAGGGCATCAGCCCTGGCACAAGGCATAGCCACACAGGGCCAAGGGGAGTGGGACAAGTGCCTGCAGGATCAGAAGAAGACAGAATGAAAGGCAGATAAGAAAGAATCACCTTTTCTCTGGAAATCAGAGCTGGATTGGTGGCAGCTCTTGGTGGAGTTAGAAGAGAGGACCTAGATCTGAACTGGGTGTAGGACATCTCTCAGGAGTCCACTGAGGCAAGGAAGGGGAGCAGAGCATGTGCTGTCACCCTCCAAGCCCTACAGCTAAAACAGTCATTGAGATCCTAGATTTCTTCTACCTGTGCCCTGCTCCCAGACACCCAGTCCCACCTTCCAGCAACATTTCCTCACTACTCAAGACTGTGGGGACACCACAGAGAGTGACCTGCCCCCAGCACAGGGGGCCAGGCTTTGTCTGTCCCTGCCAAACACAGAGTGAGGGTGAGTTTCAAAGCCACAAGGCTTGTGTTCATTCTTAAAGACTGATGGCCCTGACCCATATTTTCAGACCAAGTCATTCAACTTTCTATCCCTAAAAAAAAAGAGGAGACATTAATAGCAACCTGCTTATTCTAACTCCCCAGCAATCTACTGGCATTTCCACACAAGGAAATAGGGATGGATTGAGCTGAACCAGCACCTGTGCTTGGATAAAAACCACACTGTGCACATCCCAGTGGACTCCTCAGCCCAAAAAATCTGGATGCACGCGGAAACACGATGCCATGAAAATGTATGTGAGCAAACAGAATTAGCAAGTCACATTTGCATCTTTTCCAGGAGAATGCACACCTGCAGTTACCTTCCTGGACCTCTGTTATCCCTGTCATTAAAGCACCAAATCCAGTTCAGCATTTTTCCTTTGAATGCAAAGACACAATTGGGCTCAGCTGGAAAGCCTCCCACAGCTCAGGGCAGGGCTCACACGTGGTTACAGCTTTGCATTTGTTCTGGAGTTCATCAAATTGCTCTCTGTATGGGATGGTGGATGCTGGCACATGGCACACAGCACAGGAACAGACTCCATTTTGGTTTTGTCCTGAGGGGGCCAGGCTACAGCTTGTCTTTGTTGGTTAAACCATTCCCTCTTCCGTGCAATCTTTTACTGTTATTGTTGTGTTTATTGCAGTTTCTTCAGTATATTGTGACTCCAATTTGTAATCCTCTTAGGATTTTTTTTCCCTCCACTATCGAAAAGGGCGCTGTTTGAGTGGGCTTGGTCTTCCTGCTGAGTTTTAAAACTAGCACAGATCCTCACAGGGGAGCATTTGCTCTGTGAAGTGCATATGGAGCAAGGCCAAATTAAAGCATTCTAAGAAAATTAACTCAGAAAATAGTCTTTGACTACAAACTGCACCATCATGGTCATCTTTGCACATGACAAGTGTGCTCTGCCATGATCTTTCTGCAGCCTGTGAAAAATCCACATATAGAAAGGCAAGTGACCATAATCTAAGTCCAAACTGATACAGATCCAACAGCACAGGAAGAGCCAATGAAACCCCACAGCTTAAGGATAATAATTCTGAAAAATAATCCAGTATAGATACAAATTACAGAACTAAGCTGCTTAAATGCTTCCAGAGCAAGGGCTGGGGTGGAAAAATGCAAACACAGTTAAAGAACACCAGTATAGGGTCAGTTATGGGCTCCACAACCCTTGTAACATACAAAACTTTTGACATGGTGCATGTTACCAGCAGGAGAAACACACACTCCAGTGCCTGGAACCAGAGATCTCCCCTGCAAATCCTCCTGCAAGTACAACCCCAACAGCTGGCCAGGGCAATCAGGCCACCAGGACACTTGGTCCACCACCAAATTGTCACCCACAACCATGTGTAAAAGGGTGAAGCCTGTGCTTCTCTTACCCACACGGCCCAGCTCCTGCATCACTGGCTGCAGGTCTGGGAAGGACTCATGGACACTGCACAGCACCTGGTAGATCTTCATGGTCAGGACACACTTCTCCTGGGCTGTGCTCAGAGCTGCTTTCAAGGAGGCCTCTGAACTTTCTTTCTGGAGAAATAATAAGAAGACAAGATCACCTGAAAGATTTTAGGCTGTGAAAGGTCAGGTTGGTCTGGGAGTGAGGGCACATCCTTCCTGATTCATCTCTACTCCTGGGAATCTGCTTTGAGAAACCAGAAAAGAAATCCCTTTCCATACACGTCTGTCCCTCCACTGATACATGTGCATGAGTTGAGAGAATTTCAGGATTAAGAGAATTTATAACAAAATAAATTCTCAGACCTTCTGTTTTGGTATTAACCCACTTTAAACCACCTTTGCATGGAAAAAGAGGTTGTTCCTCAACACCTGGCAACATTAGCAGCTCACCTAACTCATAAACCTGTGCTTCATCAGATCTCTTCATCACAACTCATATCTAATCTTAATCTGCCCTCTGTCATTTTAAGGCCATTTCCCAGATGAGGATTAAAGCTCAGTATCTGCTTGCAGACATGCAGGAGCCTGCTCACCTCTCTCTCTGCAGGAGCCAGGCTCTGTACAGCAGAGATGCCCTGCAGCAGCATGTCCGTGTCTGTCAGGAGCTCCATGAAGTTCTCTCAGTATTGTTGCAACAGTTTGGCTCCATAATCCTCTGGGCTCCATTTGCCTGAATTCAGTGAATGAAGAAAGGAACAGCTCAGTTGCAGCATCTTCCCAAAGGGCTTCAGAGGTAGGAGAGACCAAAAAAGCCCAGGCAGATAGTTCTCCCTGGGTCACTAATGCTCAGGGTCTTATGCTCAGCCCACCTGGATTCACCTTCAAGCTCAGGATGAACACGACAAATCAGAACTTCTCCAAAGCAAAGACAACACAGAGTATCCTCTGCCCACACATCTCCAACAGGAATGGATCTTTGGCACCCAAATATCTCCTGAGTCTCAGGCAAGGTCTGAGCCCAGAAGAAGAAAGTCTCAGTTTTCAGCACATTGAGCAGATGACCATGTGGCTTTGTCTGTGAAGGCAATACTTCAAGATGTTCATCAGCCTTTTCTGATTCCCTGGAATAACAAAGACCCCATTACTGACTTTTGACTGAAGTTTCACTGCAAGAGGTCTGTGAGTCAGTGTGTTTGATGCACTCCACCAAGAAGGAGCTTTGAAATGCCCCAGCTCATGTCTTTCTCATGCCCTTGTATGACTATCAAACACACTAACATTTTACAAACACCCAGGTGGTACAAGGTAATCAAGAACTTAGTGGGCTCAGCTGGTGAAAATTTTAAAGGCACACAAACCAGACCTGCAGTTGCAGAGCAGTCATAGCACCTTCTTCTCTCCCTTACACCAAAAAATGCAACTTTAACTCCATTCCTTTCTGCTCCTCCATCTAATTCCAAGCTGGATCTGCTGAAGTTTGCCTTGATAAATCAGAAAAATTACGACTCCAGGGCAACACCCCAACGCTTTAAAGATATCCTAGTGTCAGGATGCAATGGACTAAGTCAAGGAAGAGGAACAGTGTTTATTCAGGATAATGAAGAGACTTGAGCAAAATCTACTGTGTCCCAAAAGTAATCTATGATTGTACTTGTTACTTGATTAGTTGATAAATAAAAGTGAGAACTGCCAAGCAGATGAATCCAAGAAGGATTTTTTCACCACTGAAGTTTCTAAATTGAAGAAGATGCACAGTTATACTTTTGTAGGAGAAACCAAACCCAAACCTTATAATTCATCCAAGACATCTGTGTACAATTTTTCTTTCTGTACTTCTGTTTTTTAATCATTCTGGTTCAGTACCAACAAGAACAATCCATGATTCTCACAGAACTACCTGGGAGAAAAACAGCTAAACACACACAGCATGGGGAGGAAAGATAAAGTTTCTGGGACCCAGAAGACACACAGTGCCAGGTACGGAGAGAAAACTCTCCGGGATGGAGAAGGAGGCAATGGCAGGCTGGGGGAATAATAAGGGAAAGATTCTGAGCTATTACGAAAAGCTCCCTGAACAAAGACTTCTTGGAGACATGAGTCTGATCCCCAGCAAAGCCAAGGGAAATTCACAGGTGAATTATTTCCCTCCTCCTCCCATCAGAATGCTTCTGGTTTTATGATGCAAATTTGAGTTGTTATGAATGCACTCTCAGCTCTGCTGCCGTGCCAAGGTGAGCTCCAGAGCCAGAGCGTGCCCTGTGCCAGGTGCAGGACCTCCTCCTCACCATCAGCAGGACAGCATGGTGACACCAAAGGTGCCACCAGCGAGTCCACCAGTCACCGGGAAAATCAAATCATTCCCTCCCTCTTCATTCCCACGATAAGAAATATTTGTGCTTCTGTTTGTTCAAGCTGCAATTTGAGGAGATTCAGCTCTGTGTAATTAAGGAATGCTCCTCCTTGGAATGGGTATTACCACGAGATAATTAACCATGCTGGGAGTCTGGTGTTTCAAGAAAGCAATCGTGCTTAACAAATGACAAAGCAAAGTGCCTGTCGGGAATGTTTGCTACAGAGGAAATTATCAGCATTATGAGCACAGTTTTGCTTTCTATTAAACACTCATTTACATTTCACTGCATGTTAATTTAGTTTTTAATTTTTATGTGACTTCGGAGTCTCTCGGTGTGAGTTGCTCGGGGTCTGAACACACCCAAAGTTGGAAGACTGTCCCACCAGGCAGAAGATGGGGGCTCCCAAGTCCCTGAGCCATCACAGGCAGGCAGCAACAATAAAACCCCACCAAAATAAACAGGAGCAGGGACCTGGCCATCCAAGACAATGATGTCTAACAGGGACACTAAGTGTGGGATTCCCATCAGCACACTCTGCTCCACATAAGAGACCACGAGCTGAAATGCTGCCTGGATCAAGGACAGGAGCTCAGCCCACATAAATTTCGCCCCCATCTCCCTCAATCACAAAGAATTCCAGGTATGAGACTGTCTGTATTTAATGTCATCATCTACAGTTTTGGGGAATTTTTAGCTTTTTGCTTTCAAAGCCAGTCAGTACCATAAGTTAAAGTCACCAGTGGAAGTTTAGTCTACCCATACCTTTGCTATCAGAGATGTTTGCTGCTGCCACCAAGTTGTCCAGCAGAAGCTGGAGTCCAGGCAATGATGCTTTCACAGCCCCCAGAAGTTTGATCAAGCTTTCCACATTCAGGGTTTTTTCTTCATCCACCCTCCTGAGCAAGTTATCCATGGCTTCCCTCTCAGAGCTGCTTTCACAGCAATCCAAAGCTACCTGCAACAAAAAAACCCCAGCCACAAACCTGCCTGTGAGAGCTTCCTACAAACTCTTGGATCTGAACTGAGATCAGAAAAACAGGAGCAGCATCACAGTACTGCAATAAATCCATACCCACTGCTTCCACAGTTTAACTGGGAGGTGTTACAGGGTGCTAGTTACAGGAACACCTGCACGTGTCCCAGGTGTAACCGATGTGCCTCGGCTCGAAGACCACCCTCGTGGGTTCTTCCACCAAGTCCAGCTCTTGGAGGTGGCTGACAAGCAAAAAAACCATTTTTTTAAAGGAAACAAAAACAGACTTAAAGACAGTGTTCAAACCAACACAACATTTTTAGTAAATACTTTTAAAATTGAGAGTCTCTTTTCTCTTGTCCCCCCGATTTTTCTGCTTGCTATCAAAAAACAGATGGACAGAAAAAAACATTCTCTTTATTTAAATAATCATCTATTAATTGAATTATTCTTTCTCTGACGAGGCCACATGAGACATCTCTTACATTAGGTGCAACCACTGTAGCTTGGAAAAGCTCTAGGATACCAGTAAAATACCTCCAAGGGAAAGGCAGCCAACAAATACAGGTTGACCTCCTCTCCATCAATGCTATGCTCCTGAGCAGAACCTCTGCAGGGCACCAGCTCAGTTCCCTGCAGACAAAAGCACTACACTTCACAGTCCCATCAATAAAATTATTAAGATCTGTCCTAAAACTAGTTACATTTTTACTCCCTTTCCCTGGTTGAAAAGCTCTTCCACAGCTTCATTCCCCTGCTAATTCTTCTAATTTTCAGCTCAAATTTATTCATGGCCAGTGTATGCCTGTTTGTACATGTGCCAGCATTACCTTTTAGCTTAAAAAGCCTTCTAAACTCTCTGAGATGTTTACTCTACCCTTCCTCTCCAATTTCATTACAAGAGCACAGTCATATTCCCTTTCAGTCTTCATTTCCCTTGTCTATATAAGGCAGCTCCTCCCATAAAGCAGCTTTTCCACTCCCCTGATCTTACCACCGCAGATCTGTCAAGTTCCAATATGAATTCACCTTTTTTGAACCAGACTGGAACAGAAATTTCCACAGGGTCATCCAGAGCAGATGACCCAGGAACTTGTCCAGGTGGGTTTGGAATGTCTGCAGAGAGGAAGGCCCCACACCCTCCCTGGGCAGCTGTTCCAGTGCTCTGCCACCCTCAATGGAAAGAAGTTGTTCCTCAAGTTGAGGTGGAACTTCTTGTGTTTTAGTTTATGGCTATTGCTCCTCGTCCTGTCTCTGGGCACCACTGAAAAGAGTCTGGCACTGAAAAGACTCTTAGCATCTGCCTTTAAGGTATTAATGAGATCCCCTCTCAGTCTTCTCCAGGCTAAACAGGCCCAGCTCCTGCAATCTCTCCTCATATGAGAGATGCTCCAGACCCCTCACCATCTTTCTGGCTCCACTGGACCCTCTCCAACAGCTCCTTACCCTTCTTGTCCTGAGAAGCCCAGAACTGGACACAGCACTCGAGATGTGCCTCACTGGGCCTGAGTAGAGGGTCAGGATCACCACCCTCAACTGCTGGCAACACTCTTCCCAGTGCACCCCAGAATCCCACTGGCCCTCCTGGTCCCCAGGGCACATCATCAGCTCAGGGACAGCTTGTCACCCACCAAGACACCCAGGTCCTTCTCAGCAGAGCTGCTCTCTAGTAATTCAGCCCCCAACCTGTGCTGGTACTTGGGGTTGTTCCTCCTCAGGTGCAGGACCTGCACTTGCCCTTGTTGAACCTCATTTGGTTTCTCTCTGCCCAATTCTCCAGCCTATCAAGGTCCTGCTTAATGGCAGGACAGCCTTCAGATGTACCAGCCACCCCCCCAGTTCCATATCATCAGAAAATCTGCTCAGGGTGCATTTGATCCCTTCGTCCAGGTGTTTGATAAACAAGTTGAATGAGACTGGACCAAGGACTGATCCCTAGGGAATGCCACTGGCTACAGGCCTCCAACTGGATTCTACTCCACTGATCACAACCCTCTGAGTCTGCCACTCAGCCAGTTCTCGATCCACCCCACTGTCCATTCACCTCACCCACATTCCCTGAGCTTTCCTATGAGGATATTATGCCTTGCTGAAGTCGAGGGAGACACCATCCACTGCTCTCCCCTCATCACCCCATCCTGCCATGCCATCACAGAAAGCATCAAATTGCTCTTAACTGATTGCTGAGAGATGTCCTTTGAGCTGTAATTTGCCTTCAGCTGTAGGAAATTTCTGTTTCTGTGCTTCTCCTGGATAGGGTCCCAGGCTCAGAAAAGAGTTTGCAGGTCATCTCCTCTCCTTATTCTTTTTCTTTACTTGATCAGACAAATGTCTGTTGCTTGTCATGATATCTGCCACGATGCCCAGCAGCCTGATGTGCCACAAGCCTCTTCACAGCTCTACAGTACATTTATTTGCCTCTCATATGTTTTGGCCATTCCCTGTAGGTCCTAAAACCTTCCCTCAAGTTATTCACTCACTCAGGTCTGTAACCTCTTACAGAAATTCTCTCTCATTCAGGATGCAAACTTCAGACAGTTCTCCCACCTTTAACATAAAAGAAACTAATCCAACAGCTCCTCCTCCGCTCTAATGAGCACCTGAACTCCTTAATTAGTTTCTCTCATTTCTAAAGATCCGTCCTTTTGTAGCCCAAACTCTGTTAGCGAACCTGTTGATGTATCCTCCCATTCAATTCACACCAAGCTGCCTCTGGATCCCTCAGGCTGAAGTCTGAGAAGAGGTACAAGAGCAGCATCTCTTGGGGAGCTCAAGCTGTATTGTGGTCACTCTGAACTCTGCAACAACCCAAGCCATGAGACACCACGAATGAAAGGTTACCTGCTCTTCCTTTGTATCCAACTTTATTTCTTTTAGGTGATAATCTGCTTCCAAATCCTCTGCGCCATCTCCCCACATTAAAGAAACACCAAAAAGCCACAGAGGTTAAGCACTCAAAAAAAGAGAAAGGTTAAAAAGTTCCCCAGAAAAAAGCAGAGATTTACGCAGAGGCTTCACAAAACTGATTTTCCAGCAAAGAAAATCAAACTTGCTCCACACACAGCTCAGACCAGGCACAGAAAGAATCCAGCTGCCCAGAAAAAAGGCTGTTACATGAGAAACTACCACTTATCTTGCTGAATAAATATGTAGCTAATGAGGCAGCGACTGTGAGAAGACAAAGGAAAGCCTCATCTTTATGAACCCTTGGAGAACTAGATCCCATCCCTGCCAGCCCAGAGCTCCAGTGCAGCACTGGCTCAATCAGGTAAGATGAAACCTTCAGAGGTGGCTGCTAATTCCATGTTCTTTTTCCCAGTCCCCGAGATACCAGAGATCCCACCTGCACATATGCTATGGGCCCACCACTTTAATCAATTTTTCTGGAATAACTAAACACTTTTCCATTGGTCTGAGGGGAGAGGGTAGAATTAAACAAATAAACCAAACTTGAAAACCAGGAAAGCTGTTAAGATCAAGTCTACGCTTGGCAACTTCTGCCTTGTTTTCTTGTGCCACAGCAGGACAGAGCTCTGCCCCCCTCCTTACCAGAGTGCTCCCCAAATACATCTGTTATTCCATGGGAAACTGTGGGCTGAAACAAGAGCATGAAGGGATCCCATAGAGAGGAGAAGGATTTGGTATTCGGGGCAGGGTTTGGAGGCTCTGCAGCAAACGGAGCACACAGTGACTGACAAGGATGAAAAGAAACATGGAATAACACTGCTCCTCCACCAAAGGAGGCAGAAGCCCTGCAGCATATGATGATGCAACTACAGGCTGTATCCTGTGCCCAAGGAGCAGAATTATGATGGCAGAATGGTTTTGGTTATTACTGGGGGGTTGTGTTTGTTTTTTAAAATGGGAAGGGAAGCAAAAAATGGCTGAATTTTAACTACCTGGTTCCACGAAGACAAAAAGAAGAATGCAAGGAAAAGGTGCAGCCTTTAAAAGAAAGGCTATACTGCAACATGAACAGGCATACTAATTTCCCCACTGCTGATGAAGCTGCCAGAGCTTGGTGCTCAGCTGTGCCTGTGCTCAGGGATGCTCCACTCTGGATCCAGTGAGGGACCAGGAGCAAGGCAGACCTTACTTGAGGGGATTATGAGCCAGGCAGAGGTTCTCAGCCCAGCTGTCGTGGCTCTGGTCAGGATCACTCAGACAGAGAGCAGAGATCATTCATGCCACCGAGCACAACTTTCCACTCACTATAATCCTGTGTCAGAGGAACTAACTGATGTGACAAACTAGGACAGGAGGTCTCAAGCTGCGTCCTGACTGCAGCATGTGAGGGCACCCTGTAAGTTCCAGCTGCACAGGGTACAGCCAGCTCCCCCCAAACACAAAGGAAAGCAGGTTATACACAGAACTTTGTCCTTTATGGCCTCTGCAAATCAGCACACATAGTGCAACTGCTTACATGAAAGGAGAGCAACAGTCCTCCCCACCAACTGCTGCCTTCAACACGTAAAAAGTAACACCAAATCAGTTAGTCTTGCAGACAACTGTGTGGTAAGAGCCATAAGAAAGAGTTAAAGCTGGGAGTCAGCTGAAAGGGAAGCTGATGACCAGGAACTGGCAAGCACATAGCAGAGTGGTTCTGCTCACACTCCCCTACAGAGCCTTCTCCATGCTCCCAAAAAGGCATTTTTAGGGCTAGGAGGAATACCAGGCACCTCCTCCGCCCCAGGCTCCACTTGCAGGGGCAGTCTGACACAGATCCTGGTTTTGAGGTTGCCTTCACTGCTCAGCTGTCACTATTCCCACAGTCCAGCACAGAAGGACCTGAGACCACACAGGTGCTTTGCAGAAGGCAGGTGAAACAGCCAGGTGAGGCAAACCACGGTGCTTTGCATCCCACTGACATCCCACCTTGCCCCCACAGTTTGCCTCATTCCAGATGTTTTTACCCACTTCTCCAAGGGGGTCAGGAATCCCTCTTCTGCTGCCTCCAGGAACTCCACGATGGGGCTCAGCTGTGTCACGCTCTGGATCAGCTCCTCCCTGCAGCCCAGCAGGAGAGCGGTCAGCGTCTCCTCCTCAGCTCTGTTCTCTGGGGGGAAAAGGATTCAGAAACACAAGAGAAGAAACAAGTCAGTCTGAAGGAACTGACAGGCTCCTGAAGCAAGGGAGACTCTGTGAAAGATCTAAGTGAATAGCAAAGCTCATCCCAAGCACAAGCAGCAGAGGAAAATCACTTTACTATTCTCTTTAAACTCTATGAAAGGAAAATGTCTGATTTATCTAACAGAGCACAAAGCCATAAAGCAAGCTGGAGGTTAACACCAGGTTTGCAAGGCCACTGCTTTGTGTCAGGCTCGAGTAAGAAAGGAGCCTTCAATCCCAAGCCTCAGCTGTGCTCTGACCCACGTTAGCTGCCAGCCATCGATCCAGCCCTCCGGGCAGTGATGGGGAGAGCCCTGCACGGCTACACCTGCTGCTGCAGGCAGAAATGCTCCAGGATCTTGGCCAGCACGTGATAAACCTCCTGCATCCAAGGACACAGGGTTTCTCTGCTTTGCCTGTAAGATTACCCGCTCAATTTGCAAGAGGCAGCACCCAATTTCCTACCTCCTTGCCGTGGGGCTTTTCCAGTGCCCTGTTCCCTCTCCAGCAGAGCTGCTCTCAGCCTGGAATTCATGTCTTGAAACAGCTTCAGAAAAGACAGGAGTGTCTGAGTGTCCAGGGGCCAAGTGTCCTGGGTGTCACTATCCTGGGTGTGAGTATCCCTGAGCCGAGCATGCTCCACTTTGCTCAGCAACTTCTTGAACAGTGACTGTGCCCCTGCCTCAGGGAGACAGGCAGCCAGAGCTTACAGCAGAACAGAAATGCAAGAAGACTTGGACAACAGAGTGAACTGCCCTATACAAACACACATAACAAGCAGAACCCCGGGGTTTTGTTCAGGGGACAAAATTAAACAGAAAAAAAAAAAAATAAACAAACAACCCCACATAGACACACACTACTGAACCCAAGCTCCAGCCCTGGGAAGGCAGCAAGCCCTGCTGCCAGCCCTTACCTGCACAGCAAATTCCAGCACCAAACCTCTCTTCATGTCTTCCCCAAATAGCCACGGGCCAATAACTGTAAGGGACCTGATAAACCATGGATTATAACCACTACTTTGGAAGGCCAAGGCTGGGGCAAGGGATACGGGATCTCACTGCAGAACAAGGAGGGATCACTTTGCATAGAAAGCAGAGAGCATTTCAGGAATCTCCAGCCTCAATCACAGTGGAGTTTTGTCTCCTAGAGAAAGCTCTGGAGAGGAGGCACACAAACTCTTGAGTGCCGTGGGCTACCAGCATGCCAGGCAATCAAACCCAGAGCTCCAAAATCTACTTCAGTGACCCGAAACAGCAACCAGAGGCAAACGTGCCTGTGCAGTTACGGAAATAAAAGGCAAAGAAATAAGCTGGAACTCTTGCTCCTATTTCCCCAAAGTCCCTTAGTGCTGTAAACATTGCCCCTGAAGACACACGCTCCCCAGCTCTCCAGGAGGGATGCCAGCCTTTCGGAGCAGGCGGCCTTTACTGGAGACCCCAGGGATGCTATAAAGGTACCTTTGAAGTGGGGAGTTCAGCCCCGCTCCAGGGAGAAGGGCCATTTTCTGCTGTCACTGTCATTTTTATTGCAGTGATGAAAAGACTGAATGCAAGTGCTTGGGGCTGCGCCGGGGGAGGCTGGGCTGGCTTTCCCAGCAGGGGGAAATGCTCACGGATTTGGGGAGCAAGGCAGAGCAATGACCCAGAGCAATGCCCGTCCTCAGAGGGGAAGCTGCACGAGTCCCAGCTTCTCCCACTTGGGTTTTCCTGCCGAACAGAGACTGTGGACATGAAGGGCTCTGGTGGAAAGAAGAAAGGAGATGCTGCAGATGCGCTGGAGAACAAACTTAAAGGTGTTCTTTTTTTTTAATGCAAACATTAATTTGTAATGAGACTTGATAACCAGATCATGTTTGTTCTCAAGGTTTGCATGCCTGGCCCCTTCCAGATCAAAACAAAATACCTCCACTCTCACCATCCTGAAGGTGCTCAGATCCTCCCGAATCCACGTTTGTACTAATATGGATGAAAAATAACTTGTCGTTGTTGCAATATATTTTTTATTTTTTGGATTTTTTTAAATTAATATAGCACAGCATTGCTGCCCAGAGCCCCAGGCAACATCCATTCCTCAGTGCATGGACTTGGTTAATGGAAATGACTTTTCAGTAACTGATCTGCTATTTATGGGCTCTTTCCAGAAGACTTTTCCTCAGACATGTTGCTCAGTGGGAATAACAGCCTTTCAGCATTGCTATGAAAGAGCACACAGTACATTTTATACTTACTTTGAAGCACTAAAAATTCCAAAAGATCCTGGAAAAAATGGAGAAATACTGATCCTAGGTGGAATCCCAGCTTCCACTTAGTCATAATATGCCCCCACATTACAGCCTGATCCATCAGGCTTTCACTGCCTGGGATGCTGCAAAACCCTTCCTGGCCAAGTTGGCACAAATTAGCACACATCCAGCTTCCAGATGGGAGCAAGAGGGAAACTGAGTCACCAAGACCTGGCTTAAGCTTGAGCTGTGCCACCAAACAGGCTCCATGGTGACTGAGAAAATTTGGTCCCAGTTGAGGATGTCAGTTCTGGAGGCCACAACACTCCCAGCTCACACACCACCTCAGTGGCCACACACCATGGAACAGCCCTCCCAGTTCATCTCAGGCCTTCCCATGCCCACGGCAGCCCCAAGGCAATCTCTGAACAGGAATCTCTGCAGGTAAGGGCCCAGGAGGCAGCTCTCCTATCTCTGTATCATCTCCACATCTTCCATGTTTTTCCAGAGAGGACCTCAACCAGATGGGCAAACAGTGTACATCCCCCAGGCAAGGTGCAGTGGCCCATAACTGAGACTAATGAGGGATGTGAGGAGAGAGGGAGGGCAGGGCAGTCACTAGCCCAGCTAGCCACTAGCTCTTCCCTGCAGGTGGGAGACCAAGGTTATGGCTTTTCATGCCTTATCAATGCTCCTGCTCCCACCGTGAGAGCAACGTCCCAGCAAAAGCCACTTCAGTGACTATTTCTGAGTGATCTCCTTCAAGCATTGGCTTTAGAGTGAATGCAAACTTCCAGAGGGTGGTGAGGAGGGATCTGCAAGAGACAGGCTGAAAAGCAGCTGTTCAGGGTGGCAGAAGAAGCTGGCTCCCTTCAGACCTCTCCCGTGTGAGCAGAGGGACACTCAGGTACACCACAGGAGGCTGGGCACCATGGGGAAACTTCCAGAGCCACACCATCAGTGCTCTGTGAATGAACACTGCTTTGGGTTTTATACTGTTAATTTTCAATGTGAAGAAGGTGAAAAAAAATATAAAAAAGTCATTGGAAACCTGCACAGACTCACAGGGTTGGTGCATGGACAGGCCCAGGACAGGTTCCACACACCTGGCTCTCAGAGAAGCTCCCTGGCTGTGACCCCACCATGAAGTCAGTCAACCATCACTGTGCATATAATAATCAGAAAAAAAACTGTGTTCCCATTTCTCCTTCAGAAACCCAAACTGCTTTTTTTTCAAGCCTGCATCTGTATGTGACTGATGAGGGACACCCCACGAAGGCTCTGTGGACAGTGCTGACCTCCTGCTTGCTCGACACAACAGGAGCTAAAGCTCAGCCCAAACTTCTACACAAGCACACCAGAATAGGGTGGAAAAAAGTTCTCTAGCTCTGTCACCACGACAGCAAAAAAGCAAAACCCTCACAAGCTTTCACTGCTAATCAGGATGCAGAAGATAACAGGAAACTTCTTTCTTCTGCTGCATCCAGAAATCCCTGCAGCTGCAAATGAAGGACGACAACCAAGGATTGGACAGGCCCACAGGCAATGGAAACAATCCACAAGCACAGTGACATTTATTCTACGTGGGAGCATCAACGCTCCCCCACTTCATCTGAACCCAGCAGTACAGGGAACAAATGAGCTGTGCAATAATTTGAATTGAGTTTCTCTAAGAGAGCACAGGAAGATAAGACTTGACACCAGCAAAGCTCTTCCACGCTTCCCCAAATTACTGCAATTTCAGTCTTGTTCTCATTTCCAAGCAGGTTTCATCCAAGCCGGAACCAAATTAGATAGGAGTAGTTTATGTGAGATATACAGAGAAACTCTAAAGCAAAAACAAGCCCAAAAATCACATCTCCCTAAACTGAAAAGCAATTCATCTGCATTTTTCAGTTCGGGGAGCAGAACAGAACACCAAAATCAGAAGAGAAGCAATAGTTGTCACAAAAGCCAGCCTTGTACCACAAACCTTCTTGGGAGAAAAAGCCCACGACCAAACAAGTCTCCACTGGAAGCAGGAGGGAATAGGCAGGAACAGCAGAGGGGAGCAGACAGGAGTGCTGCAGGGAACAAGGCACCATGCAGGGATGAGCTCACCAGCAACAGAAAAGAAATAAAGAAGCATCCAAACCCAAATCCCAGAGAAACCAGAGGAGCCTGAACACCAGGACAGCCTTGGTGCCAACAGGCAGGCTTGCAAAACCCCCCTGAACCCTCACACTGCCCAGGCTTTGCTGCCCAAAGCACATCACTGCTTGCTCAGAGAGATCAGCCACCCTCAAAAGGCTCCCAGGCAGAAGCACCCGAGGGATAGGAGACGTCCCTGCAGCAGGGCAAGCACACCCAGCAATGCTTTCTGCAAAGAAACCACATCTCACCGGCTTCCAGACCTGCTTTTGCTTGCCCCGAGCCACCCAAGACTTCAAGCAAATGACCAGCAAAAGGATAAAAAGAAGGGGAGGGAAAAAAGAGGAGAGAGAAAGAAAATCCATTGACATCTACTGCTGGCACAACCTCACCCTGAATTGCACATCCGAGCTGGGCTCTTAGGAGCTGAACTTGCACTTCAAGCATGACTTTAAAAACACACTGCTGTGCTTCCCCCTAAAGAAAACACCAGGCCCTTCTGGGAAAGAGCTGTTCTGTGTGCTACAAACAGAGCCCAGACTCGGTGCTGGCGCCCAGAGGTCCCGCTGATCTCAGAGGGGAGCTCAGAGAGGGACAGATCTGGTTGAGTCCTTGCTTACAACAGGCTGCAGCCTGTTCCCCCACTGCCCTGGGGCTGACACTTTTCATGCTTGTCACAGCTGAGAAGTGATTTTTCGGGAAGGCTTAAAGAAAATCCATTTCTCATTTATTCAGCATTTATTTATAGCTGCAGAAAAATTGTCCAGCTACTGCTTTGCAGTCAGACACCCAAACCGGCTCTGAGCACCACAACCTCTCCACTCAGCTCCTGCTGCAACAGCTCTTTTGGGAGCACAAAGGGCCGCAAATGGGGCTGTAAACCTTCCCTGCTGGGTCTGAGGTGCTGAAGGAACATGAAACGGCAGTGACTGCAAAGCAATAGCAAGCGAGGCCGCTGTGCAGCACAGAAGCTGCAGCTCACCTGCCTGGGCACTGCCGGCACAACTCTGCCCTGCCGAGGGCAGCAAGGGGGGCAGAGACAGTGGTGGTGCTGCTGGCACGGTGGCATTGAGCTGCCAAATCCCTTCTGGCCACACCCATCCCCACTGCACAGCACTCACCCCAGCTCTGCCCCTATTGTAAGGGTGGAGAACAGTAAAACCTTAAACCTGACATATTTATCCGATCGCGGCGACAAACGAACGTACAAAAAACTAATCCTTCTCTGAGCAGGGCATTCAGAGGTGCTTGTCAGCCCAGCCAGGCTTGGGCTTGCTGCTGCAAATAGAAATCTGTCTCCTAAAGGCCACAAGATGTTACATTCAATAACATCAGGAGAACCAGCAGCTAAGGGAACTCAGGTTTCCCTTCATGAACATTTAAGGACTCAGCAGAAAACAATCCTTTGCTCCCCAACCCAAGGGAATTCTCCTCTCTGCTGTCATACATGTTTTGGGGTTTTTTTTCTAACAGACATAAAGCCTTGGGCTTTTATAAGCAGAATGCCACCACGGCCAAAATGTTGCACGTCCTGCTGTTTCTGTGGTGGCTCTGAGCTGGGACAACAGCTGCTATGTGGCTACCACTGCTCAGAGCCCAGAGTACTCTTCAGCACACCCCAAGCACCAGAGTCAGCTATCCCCTCCAACAGAAACCAAGCATCATTCACCAGCTCTGACTGCTCTTAAAGCAGCACACTGCCAGGAGAAGCATCACGGGGCAGCAGCTGGCACCCCCCTTCCACCCTCCATTCCACTGCCCCCTCAGCAGCTCTGCCATCCACAGAGTGCAGCAGAGGCTCCACAGCAAGACAGTGCCAAGAGCTTGGGAAATCTATATTGGGATCTCATATGTCAGTTGTTTACAAGTCGATGCAGTTCCTGAAGCAAATGCCATAAACAGGAGGAGAGAAATCTGTGCTGGAGCTCTCCTAAAACACAAGGATGTCTTCAGGGCAGGACATACTTTTTATCTGTGTGCATGAGCAGCTTGCACTTACAGATGCTTCTCTCCAGGGTGGTGCTCAGGTGAGCACATGGTGCCCTTCAAACAACCAGGCACCAGTTTCCCATGCAACAATTTCCTGAGCAAGGCATACTATTCTAGCCCTTAGCAGGATGGGCTAAGAAAAAAACTTGTATCATTTATGGAAGTAAACACACCTACCTCCTTTTGAGAGGCATCAGTTTCTCTGCTCGAGTCTTTTCAGCACAGCCTGGGCATCAGAAAGGGCCTCAGAGAAAACACTTTCATATCGAAGAAAGAAATCCAGTTTACAGCTTTTGCTCTCTGCTGCTGTGCGAGAGAAACAAGATGAGTTATTTGCTAATTGAAGGGATTCGCAGAAAGCACGATGTGACTGAAAGGCATTGGTTTGTAACCAGCACATTGGCTATAACAGGAAAACTGTGACTTACAAATCCCTTCTGAAGACATCACACAGCCTGGAGGGAAAACCAACGGTTTATTTAACACCAGTTATAAATGGAACATTTATTTTAAACCCAGTACAGCCTCTGTTTTCCTCCCATGCTGAATAGGAGTTTAAAGGATAAGGTAGCATTAGTAGGCAACTCTGTTCACTTGCTGTTAGACAGACTGACTGATCAGCCCCATGTCCTGCACAAACACAGATCCCACCCCATGGCAGATGCATTCACACACCTAGGCATGAAAAATTTTGCTCAACTACAGCTCTGGCAAAATGGTGAGCGTGAAACAACTGCAAAAGCCAAAGGAAGAAAATCCCTGCAGAACGGGGTGTTGCTACCAACCCAAGGCAAACTAAAAAGATCCAACACGGGGAAAAAGATACCCCAAAATGGGAAAATGTGAGTCGATGTGTTGCCAACAGGAGGCAATGCTGTGCCCAGACTGTGAAGTCTCACCTAAATCCCTCGATCCCCCCTTCCCCTCTGGAGGCTCTTCCACACAGCCACTTCACTCAGCATGGGCAGGCTGGTCAGGGCCAGAGCTTGAATCCTCCTGGAAGGACCTGGAGACATTCAGCATCAAGTCCTCGTGAACCCAGGTGCAATTCACAGTAAGTTCCTGGCCAGGAGGAGAAACATCTGCTTCCATTTCTGCTTCTACAGGGCCAGGTAAAGGGAAAACTCTCTGAGTGAGGAGGATATCTGTTTTTTCTTCTTTGGGTTTTCCAGACTGGGGCAGGTTATTAGCTTCAGCTTTGTTTTCAGATGAATCTGCTGCCTGGCTGGAGACTCCTCTCAGTGTACCTGGTCCCAAGGAGAACAGCTTATGAGGTCCCTGAGGAGGCTTTTGCAACTAACAGCCACATCAAACATCTGCAGACTATCTGCCACGGAGATAACTTTGGTGCAATTGTGTTTCCCCAGTGGGAGTTTGCCACTGTACATCATCTCCAGCAAGAGTGCAAACTCCTCAGGCATCACCACAGAAGCATCAGTGGAGGTGCTGTCTGTAAGGCCCGAGAGGGATTTAAACAGCAGGCTGGCAGCAGCCAAAACCACCTTGTGTGCTCTAAAATGCACGTCCCCAGTAAAGATGGTGCAGTCACAGCAGTGCTGCTCCTTGCACAGGGTGTACAGCTGGGGCAGCAGCTGCTGGCTGTAACTGGGGAGCTCCATGGCACCCACTGGCCTCCTCTCACCGTGGTCTCCACACCGCTCTCACAAAACCCAGCTAATGAGAAGGAAAGGGACCCTGTCAGCATTTTGCTCTGCAAGACAGAAGAGTAAGTAAAAACTACTTTTCAGTTTACACATTCCAGTAGTTTACTGTGCTGCAGTTCTGTGGTTACAGCAAGATCCCCATTCTGAACTCACATTCCACGAATTCAGCAGTTTACCCCGAGACCTAAAGAGCCTCGACAGTGTTCAAACCTCAGTGAGCAGATTTGGATTGAGTGCTGAGTCCCAGGAGCTTTAAAAAGGGAGTAGAGCCTCCCCAGTGTGCCATACAGCTCATGGAGGTGTGAGTGCCCACCAGATCAGGCACTGCAGTGCCAGGCTGTGCCTGCAGCCAGGGGCTGGAGCTGATGCTGAATTCAGCAGCTGGTTTCTGAAAGGACAGGTGGGAAAGCAGGGCAGGAAGACCTGTTCAGATCATCTATGAAACACAGAGGAGAATCTGAGAAGCTAGTTTTGATCTGCAAAGCACTAAGTGGTTTGGGACCAGTTCATTTTCTCCCTACATCACTGCTAAGATGAGCAGGGCCACGTGAACATTAGAGATAGAGGGCTGCTTGCAGCCCAGAGCCTTCACCCCTTCTCAGCACACCACAGTCCCAACTCATCAATTTACAAGTCTTTGTTCCCAAGCTGTAATTTTTTTGCAGAAGTCCAGAGCCCTAAATCTCATCTGCCAGAGCCTTCCTTTTACTTCCCCCCTCCCCACCCTGTTCCAGGAGGGAGAACATACAGGACATCTGCCAACAGAATTTTGTATCAGCGGGATACCTGGAGTTTTTATCTAAGCTAGACAAGATAAAGATGTCACTGCCTTGTCTACACACTTGGATGCCTAACACTAGTGCAGGCCACAAAACAGCATGAACACCAGAGAAAGAGCACCTGGATGGACACAATTTACATGACCTTCAATGCTTAACATCTTTGCACTCAGCCTCCTGCTCTCTTGCAGAGAACAGGACTGATATTGCCTGTCAGCAGGGCACGAGCTTTAAGGAGCACACACTCCACCTCGAAGCACTGCCTCTCAGGAAAGCAGGCTTGGAGCAGTCCCCAACACTGCAAGGCACAAGGAGACACTGGGCACAGGCTGAGCTGGCACCTTGCTTCTTCAAGGCACAAACCCCTCTGGAGCTCAGCCTTTGTGGGAAGTAGGATTTCCTGCCCACAGGCAGGCAGGACCCCAGCTGACCTTCTGAGTGGCACTGCCTGTGGTGGCTGTGGGAAGACAGAAGAAGCCAAGAGGCATCACCTCATTGCAGAGGTACAGACAGCTGAGCAACTGGTTGGTGGATCCCAGCCACGCAGGAGAGCTCTCCTGAGTGGCCAAGAACTCCCACAGGCTTTAAAGGTGAAGTGCTATGGAACATGTTTTTCAATCACCAGGTGAAGATCCCAGATGGTTTTGCCATCACCTCAAAGCAGAGGTGTCCTGCTCCCCATCTGGGTGCCTGTGAAGCAAGAGCACACGGTGGTTAGGTCCTTCTCTGGAAGGCAGGAAAACCTGAGTGGAATGATAGCCCATCCTCCTGCTTCTCAGAGACAGAGCTCCTCCGGGCACATCGCTACCAAAGGTTGGCTGGTTTGCAGCTCATCTTTGCTGCACCAGATCCACCCCTTCAGCCTTGCACAGGGCTGGCCACCTGCACTTCCAGCCTATCCAACATGTGGGCTCTGCTCTCCTCCCACGCTGTTGTAAATCACAAGGAATCAAGCTGCCGTGAGCAGAGTCACTGCTGGCCGTGGGAGAGGAGAAAGACCTGATTCTTTTGCCAGGCTCAATGTAAATAGCATTTTCAGTCTACCCACTCTTTCCTGAAGCTGAAGGACTTCCAGTATCTGAGATGAAATTGGGTCTGCTGGTTAAATAATAATAGTTGTGGCTCTTCCTACAAAAGGACAAGCAGGAAACATCGATGTCCTGGAAGAGACGTCTGCTCACTTTGCCATGAACAGCCTTCTGCATGAAACCTATTGCTTGCACCGTGGCAAGCTGGAGGAAGCAGCAGCACCGTCTGCTCCCTCTATTCCTGGCAGGAATATAGAAGACATATTTGCTCATGACAGCTCGAAACAGTGAAGCTCTAAGCAGCTTAGCAGCATGTCCCCTTCTTCTGGAAAATGTGTCCTAAGCAATTAGCACAGACATATTTGTTTAAATACATTTTACCTCTTTATTTATAGGGACCCAACAACCCAGTACTGCCAAAGAGAATAGGCATTTGTAACAAGGGGTGCTGGCCAAGACCAGCCTCAAGGCAACTGCCCCCTACTTAGAGCACACTTCAGGCTTTTATTCAAAGCTTAGAGCCAGAAGGGACCACACCAGCAATCTGATTCCTCATCCATCACTGCCTCCCAGATTTCCAGGCTCATAACATGGGTTTGGCTAAAGCCTCTCTTCCAGCAAGGTGCCTAGTCATGATAAGAACTGATTTTTAGGGGGAGGACCCTCCACCACCACAGTTATTCTAACTGTTAATTTACATGTCTTCTTTCTCACCTGAGTTTGTCTGGCTTCATCTCCCAGCCGTCCTCTGGATGACTTCTGGGAGAGCTGGCTGGGGGACTGGGTGGAACTGGGAATCTCTGAGAGCAGGTAACTGATCCTTCAGCAGCAGTGAGTGCTGACAGAACATGAGCTGTCTGCCTCTGCCAGCAGCACTGGTAAGAAATGGCCAACTGTCACGTCTTCATCTTAAAGCTGCTTCTCTGCAGCCCTCCTGAGACATATTGCCAGTAAACCAAGACAAAGTCTGACTCACTTGAGTCACAAAGGGGACAAAGGAGACAGGGCATTTGCCCATCTGAGCTGCACAAGAAACAGGCTTTGCAAAATTAATCCTTTGATGGGACATCTTAAACCCCATCCTTCCAGCTTTCCAGGGAGAACACCAAGATGGCTTAAGAGTTTTCCTTCCACCAGCTTCCAGTGAGACTGTGAAATAAGGAATTTAAGCCAAATTTTCAACAGTGCCTAAAGTTCCTAAGGCTCTACTTGACAACATGTCAATAAATGTCCCCCGTTATCCTTAAGCAGCAGTTGCCATCTGTGATTGCTCTCAGGACACCCACTTCAGCAAAATGCCCCTTCTTCTGAACTCCCAAGTAGAGGTGGTCCAGAACAGGTCTGCAGCAAACATCACCCTCCACTGTTCAGTTCCAGCTCATTCCACCTTTTCCCAGGTATTCCTGCCCTCACACAACTCCACGGTTTGAGGGAATCATGTCTTTTTCTTTAAGCTACAGTAGAACAGGAAAAAGATCTGTTGAGAGCAACAACCTTTCTTCACAGAGAAGGAGGAAAGATGGACACCCAATTCTATCCAAACAACAAAAAAAGAATGCCCAAATTAAATTACTTCTCTTCATTATTCATATAATTACTTCCATCTAGATCCAACAGATTCAAAAGCCACCCACATCACCAGGTTCATCAAAAGATAATTGAAATTTAGGACCAAGCACTTTAGCAATTAAGACTCTGCAGAGACAGGTGCTCCAAAGCTGCATGGATGAGACCACTCTTCCCTCACAATTCCTGCTGCCACAGTACCCACACCTTTAGAACACCCATCACAAGGCACAGAAAGAATTTTAATGTCTCTATGGTCTTAGCAAAAGGATTCTGTATGTCCCTCACTGCCAGAACTAAGGACTTTTGCAAGGTGCTGGTCAACACAGCTGCTGCCATTAATAACACCAAAAGCTCTTTCTGCATCCATCTCAGTGGCCAGTTTGAGGATGTGTTCCACGCCTGAAATTCCTCCTGGAGCAAGGCTTTTTGTAGCTTTAAAATAAACCCAAAACCAACTACTATTGCTGCACACTACCGAAAAATGAAGCACTCCCAGCACAGTGGTTCTGAAAGGCACAAACCCACAGCCTGCTGCTCCCTCTGCTGCCGGCACGGCACAGCCCAGCACTGCCCAGGGCCAGGCAGAGATGGATAACTTGGAGCACCCACATGGATAATGAAGCTTCATAAAATCAGCCGGCACACCCGATGAGAAAGTAGAAGAAAGCAAGTCCTATGTGAGTTTCCAAAAAGCTGAACCAAAGCAGGCAGAAAACAAAACAAAACAAAACGCAAAGTGGACAGAAAGAGAGAAGCAAAATGGAAGGATCCAACTTCCCTGTGTTAAGTAAATGCCACTTCTGCTGGAGGTGACGGGAGGCACTCACAGGAGCACCCCTCAACCCTCCTGCTCCCCAGCACCCTCTGCTCAGGGAGCTAAAACCCCAAGTGGTCACTGAAGCAGGTGCCAGCCCACAAAGGCTCCTTGCCCTGTGAGAGGGGCTCGCCCCATCCCAGCCCACTTACAACCACTCAAAGGCTCATTTCACAGTTCTTATGGAAATCAGTGAATTCAGCAGGATGGAAAGCTGGGATTCATCTCATGTTCCTCGACCCTGGGAATGACACTGGCCTCTAAACGAGGGGCAATGTTTTGGTTTTATCTCTGAGGAGTTAAGGGCAGTGACAGCCTTAAATCACAATCTGAATATTTTCTGCGTGTGTTTACCAGTTTCCTGGGTTTTTTTGTTACCAAGATGATGATCTTACAATGAGGGTTATTGGAAAGCCAGAAAATCAAGGACTGCAATTCAATTTTCTTACCTCTCCCACCAAAAGCAATTCAGTCTTTGAACTGCTGAAAGAGGCTTGAGGGGTCATTACTTGCCTCTGGGGTGCTCCAAAGGGGCAGAGCAGGCAGCTCGCCCAGAGGATAATGTGAAATCCAGCACAAGGAGATAGGGCACACCAATTTGTTTTTCAGTCTATTTTGTTGCAGTTCAGAGCATCAGTGCAGACTGATAACAGAGGAAAATAAGCAACACTTTGACTAAATTCAGCGCTCCCCAGTCTCTAAAGGCAGCAGAATATACCGCTCGAACCCCACGCATTTTGTCTGCACTGATGCTCAGAACAGAAATATAAACAGATTGAAAAACAAACAGCTCTGCTCCAACTCTTAATGTTAACTTTTCTGTTACTCTTCAAAACGAGGGCTGCCTCAAAAAGCAAATAAAATCATGCAGTGGAAAAGCTGCACAAACCCAAAAAAATGCCAGTTTGCTCCAGTCACTGCTCAGCCACAGATCACTGTTCCCAAGAACACTGAAAAGTGCTAATCGTATTTTGCAGGTTCCCCTAACATCCTCAAAAAACAGAAGCTGGACATTTGAACTGCTGTTTGTAAGGCAGGTTTACGTCAGTGTGTTGTAATTTATTTGTGACTTGTCAAAACGACACTAGACCAGTTTTTGTGACCCATTTTGCATCAGTAGAAGCACAGGAGACCTCTGTTCCCACAGCCAAGGGCAGACATGGCTCAACACATCCCTGAGGTGCCTTGATCCAAAGGCCTGTTTAAGCACACAGGGAATTTAAAAAAAAAAAAAAAAAAAGCTTGAAAATGACATTTCTCAAGTGTGGTCACCCCAAACCAGGTCCAATTCCCTCAGACTTCGTAAGTACACACAATTACTGTGAGCTGAGTCTATGGACACTTGGACTTCCATCGCTGTCTCCACCTGCTTTGGGCCATCCGAGGCACCTTCTCAGCCACAAAATTCCATTAACACAAAAGGCCCTTCAACAACTCTTCAAACCCTGCTCTAAGACCCAGCAGAGGAAGATCCAGCACTGTGAAAGCCGAGTGGGGTTTACCCCAGGAAGCCAATGCGCTTCCTCCACCTCCTGGAAGAACTCTATAACTGCTGAGCCACTTTTCAGGTGACAACAGGCTCATCTTTGGCACCTTCTTTAAGTGCATGTTGAGGCAGTTAAAATATAGTGGAAAGAGATGAAACATGAGCAAATGAGGAGGGCCGAGAGGCTGGGAGAGGACCTGTGTTCCAGTTTGTGCTCTGACAGGCTGTTTCCTGCATCACCCTGTCTTCGACTGGGGTTTTAACCCAAATTCCTCCTCAAACACAAGACACTTGGCATCTCTTAATCAAAACCCTGCAGAATCCTGCTGCCTTATGTCACGTCTGGCCCATAGGTGTGTCAGCATGGGAGAGCAAACTGCCCCCAAGACTCACCCTCTGTAGGGAGGAGCTGGGCTTTACTGACCAGACCCCACCACAGACCTTTCTGT